TGTGTGTGTGTGTGTGTGTGTGTGTGTGTGTGTGTGTGTGTGTGTGTGTGTATGCGCATGTGTGAGTTTATGAGTAAGTTTTCTTGTAGGATGTGTGTGCATACCCTGTAGAAGCTCACGAAGATGTGAATGGACAAGAGCAGAGCGAGTGCGTAGAGTATCCAGGCCACCGCTTGCATCGACACAAACCGTGCACCACCCTGGATAGTACCGATGAGAAGAGTGTTAGATTGATAGAATATCAGTTGGAAATAGTAATCGTTTGATGTAGTATTAGTTTGATGCAGTACTGGTTTGATGGAGTAATAGTCTGATGCCGTACAAGATTGACGGAGTACTAGTATAGAGTATTAGTTTGATGACGTATTAGTTTAATGGGCTGTTAATTTAATGAAGAATTAGTCGAACGAAGTATTAGTTTGAAATGCTCTTCGTAGAAAGAAGTACTAGCTGGATGGTTTCTTGGTTTAAGTCAGTATTAGTTAAAAGTAGTCCTATTTCCCTTTGTGTTTCGGCTTGGAGAAGTATACTGTATTAAAATACAGTGCTGTATCGCCTCAGGAGATCCAGCAAGCATGCACACCGCCATAGTATACTATCCTGAACGCAGACACAACAGCACACCCCGTACTTCTTTTGAGGCAGATGTTGGGTAAAGACTCGAGCACTGATACTAGCTATGGGTGGGTAGACCTAGGATGCTTCTTCAAGTAGTGGAATGTATCGTTCCACGTTTGCGTTGTGTGGTACTCGAACAGAACTGTGAACGCTCGAAATAAACAGCCGAAACACGCACAGTACACGCTCTCAATACCACCCAACATGTGTGTTGGAGATACGAAGACTTCAACGTTACCAGTGTACGTCTACAGTGATAGGCAGATCTAGGTACCCACATCAAGGGGATTCTAAATCACGTGTACTACCATATAAACACCTACATAAATATATACTAAACCTACATATATAGACCATATGTACGTCCATTTGCAGACGTACATACAATAACCTATACATAAACCATGCCTACATACATAGCCCATATGTACGTCCATACACCACCTACATATACATACACGACACACCTCAAAGGGCATGAAGGCTTTCCAGCCACTGATGGTCCCCGCACCAGACATCTGTACCGCAGGCACTGACACGAACAGTGCAACGGCAGATGTTGTGTGCAGTGCAAAGGCAAAAGAAGGATGGTTGTGGTTTAAACACAGCTCGGCGAGCAGAACAAGCCCAAAGCAGCCAAAGCACGCCACAACCAGCAACTGTATCTTGCTCCTCCACGCCTGGGCATCTACGGTACGGGTGATGAGAGTATGTGTGTAAATAGATAGGCCAATCCGTATTTATATATATATATATATATATATAACGGGCGTACATTAAGCAATCGCTACCTAGGCATAGTTTTGCAAGGGAGCCAATCAGGCTCACATAATGCATGTCCCTAACGGTAGCTGTATTTCGCTTACTCGCGCTTGTGCGACTAGTACAAAGGGTAGTGACTACATTGGCGTGCAAGCGTGGTAACAGTGTGGTGTAGGTATGGTATAGTGTGGGTACAGTATAGGTATGGTATAGTGTAGGTACAGTATAGGTATGGGTGTGGAGGAATAGAGGCTGAGTGGTGTCAAAGTTGGTATACGTCCGGGTGTAGGGTTTGCGTTTTAGGAACTGTGGACAAACGCGGAGACTACACTCACGAGGACGAGTGCACAATACACATCTGTAGATAAATCAAAACATTCGTGGACCCGAGCTTCTTAGTTTATGACTTCAAGTTAATCATGAAGTTTATCTTTGCCTATAGGACCTACCCCTAGCGTCACCCCACAGAGTATTAAACATGAAGAGATTTGTGCTGGATTGGATAGAGTGATTTTCTCGGTCAATTGGCGAGGACGTTTGCTGACTGAGGAGTAGACGAAAGACTGGCGTTGAATGGCACACCACTTAACTTTAAACCAGTGATTCCAACCGTAAAAGTATGCTTAGGCCAGCCTAACATCACCTAACAGCATTCAGTTGGAGCTAGCGTTACAGCATATATCAGCATTCAGATGTAGGGAGTATGCTTCAGCTGGGACATACACAGCTGTGTGTCGTAGTCGACGGTTGTTCAAGTACATACAAAGACATAGGCAAACCTGTTGGTGAGAAGGTTTTGAATAACCTCTGCCCTTGTATTGTATACCATCATGAGAAGCAACCATTCCTTTACACAGACTATTACGACAAGATCATGCATACACCAGGAGGCTGAACGTTACCCATAGCAAGCCGATTGCACATCAGAGCCAAATCGCTCATACATACATGGGTGAAACCGGGTATACGTAAGCAGGGACGCAATATATACATACATACATCGAAATGATTCAGATACACACACACACACCATCGTCATCGATCTCAGATGGAGCTGGAGTGTCCCTCAGCACCTTTGATTCCCGCTTGCGACTGTACGCGACTTCTGTGCGTCTAAGGTGTGCGTACGTGTGGGGATGCTTACAGTTGAGAAAAGTGTTTAGATATATAGGTACACATCCGATGCGGCATACACCATCCGAATTGCCATCGCAACTGATGAAGACGCGGGCGTGGTGCGCTCGATTGCTGCGTCACCTTCGTCCCAGAGATATGTGTGTGATACATGATATATAGACTGGATGAGACATCCGTCTTCGCACGGTCAGACAGATACACACACAATTGCCGGTCGATAGTGTGCAGTATCTATCTACCAAAGGGACTGACGGTATATGTAATTCACGTGGCTGTATCGACCACGTGCTATAGTTGATCTGCAGGAACACAATAGGCTGGCATACTTCCGACTACAATTATATATGAAGCGAAGGTTCCTGTGCAACTGTGATGTTCTTGCCCCTCAACAGAAACAGCTCTATAAGTGACTATCGGGCCATATAAATGTGCGCATAATCCTGGTCAGATACTACCTAAACTGCTAGTTGTAGAGAAACATATTATAGCTGGTTTCAACTGTACATAGAATTGATTAAAATTGGCATCAACAAAAACAAGCTGGCAGTGTAGAAGGATCGTATATTAATACTCACCGGCAAATCACTCCGATAAGACATAGCTTAAACTACAAATGCGCACAGTGTTTACACATTGACTGCATGTTACTTAGCCAATCCCGCTTGTACACACATATGTGGATATCTGCAGTTTTAACCCGAAGGATGAATATCCCGAAATGTATCATTTGTGTGGTTTGTGTAATAAGTATAGTTGTTTTATAACGTGTCAAAGTGATGTATCAGGCAGCTGTAGTGTATATGAACTCTTTGCAGGCTAAAAATCCGACATCGTCGTTACATTAGGGACTTATAACTGCACACTCTTACATACACACACCTTCGTATCAATACATCCTTCTCCTGCGCCAAATAATCCTCCATCTGCAATGGCCCGTCAATGTCATCTTCAGCATTCTGCAATAGGTCGTCAAACAACGTTCTTTTACTTTCGCTCGCGTTTGTTGGAGCAACGCGTTCTCCCCGTCCCTGTTTCGTGTCATTCGCTTTGACATCCTCCTGCGGCTCATCGAACCCCTTTGTGGCGCTGGCATCTACATGTTCACCAAGTTCCGTCGATGAGGTTATACAATCATTCTCTGTATCGTCCCCAGCCATACTCGCATTGGCTAGCAGATATGCGTATACACGAAGATCCACTGCTTAGTGTTGACGATGTCGTTTCCTGGTTTCATATATAGCTCTATCCTGGTAGTTACAAACACGCATATAAAGTTACAAACCCTTGCAAGCTCTTCCATAGACACCACCACGGCACTGGCTTCCCATTCTTTTAAACAGGTTCACAAAAGAACAACTTTTACTGAAATAAAATTATCACAACTACATAGTTGCTTATTTTGGGTCTCAATAGGCAGTTCGGTACCTGTCATCATAAATTCCATGACAGCACAACTCTGGTATCACAAGAGATCCCACTCATCCTAGCCATCCCTGATCCTCTCGTCGACTCTTATTCAAACAAACAAAATTGTTTTAGGAGACTATGATAGTCGATAGACTATAGACCCGTAGACTACAGAGCCAACTGAAATATTATTCGCGGAGTCGAATAACTAATTTAGATGTATGACTGAAGAAACTATATTTTATAACACAAGTGTCGCATTTTTTTGCTTTTTACGCTCACTAAAGGGTTTTAGGACAGAATTTTAATACAATTCTGCACTGTACAATACAATGCAAACTAGTATGGCGTCGAAAGCCCATGAGACTGATGAGCAACCCTATGAGGCCCATGTGCTTATCCCTGACAACAGGGAACTATCCAGCCAGGCTTTGAATAGTGGCACGGCTGAACAGCAACAGCGCACACTCATGCGTGAGCGGACACTGCAAGCAACGCGTTTGCTGTCTACGATGCGATGCAGCATTACCATGACAGACGGGTGTGTGAATCTTTCGTGGTTTGTGAAGATTAGCAGAGGCGTAGATTAATGATAGAGCGAATGTGCTGCTCTTGAATATGGTGGCAGAGTTCGTAATTCCACTTTTTTACAAAAATAAACTATATATATATATAAATATATATATATATACATATATATATATATATGTATATATATATATATACATATATATATATATATATATGTGTGTGTGTGTGTGTGTGTGTGTGTGTGTGTGTGTGTAGTGTGTGTGTGTTGTTGTGTGTATGTATTAAATAT